CGCAAGCCTCGCACGCTCTCAACGTAAGTTTTTTTTCAGATCGTTGCTGTTTTCATGGTATGGCTAAGGGTTTCTGTCCGTTGTGTTTGTTTTTTTGTTTGTTCTCTTTGCGCGTGTGTGTTTCCCCATGGACGGCCATATTCTGTAGGTCAACGACGGCGGAGAGGTACGGGAAGCACCGCGGTACAAAGCTGTAAGGCGACTGGAGGTCGCGTGCTGAACCGTAAAGGGAACGCGGGAAGCCGCGGGTGCTGTTTAGTGGGCTACCCACCGCCGTGACCCCGGTCAACAGGCTGACGGAGTGAACCAGACCCAGGGGAGGAGGGCTGTAAGTCGACTGGAGGTCGCGTGCCGATGGCTGCAAGGCGACGGGAGGTACCGGGCATCGCTATAAGTCGACTGGAGGCCGCGTGCGAGATGGTAAGGTAGCTGGAGGCTACAGACACGATGTTCTCGTGCTACGAATGTTGTTCCAACTGTGAGGTTCTAGGTTGAAGGAAGGGCAGCGAGAAGGGACAGGTATCGCACGCTTTTGCGGACATGCCGGTGCAAGGCGGCCGACGGGAGCCGCATGATTTCAGGTGGAATGGTTACGTTGTTCGAGTATGGCAAACCCGACAAGAGCATACATGCAGGGTTGAGGTTTTGACATGTCCAAAACTTAGGTTTTCCACGGCACGGGACCAGGCCGGTACTGGGCCAGGGCACATGCGGTACCTTTCCCCAATGAATGTCAATGAGTTGTTAGCACGCATGACGCAAGATGGACTTACACAGTTTGCGATGTTATTCGGCTTGCCACTCTCTAGAAAGAAAACTGAAGTTGTTCTTTCTGTCTTCCCCTATCGCTGTTATGCAGTAGCTACGTGAGTTGAGGGAGCGTACCGAAAGGCTGGAGAATCAAGGAAAGGCCGGGGAGACAGAGAGACTTCTCCGAGAGACGAGGGCGTACGCGGCGAGGAGGGGGGCAGCCTTCGACCCCAGCTCTATGTCGGCTTTGCTCAGGGCTTTGACGGAGGCGGCTAGAGCGTCGGCGCACCCCAACGCCCGTAAGTGGGCTTTTGCGGCCTCGGCGTTCGATGCAGCGGTGGAGGCCGGGCCCGGAGACTACCAGGCCCTGGTTGTGAGTTTTGTTGGGGACCCGGAACAGGCGGCCATAGCAGAGTTGGTGAACAAATGGCGCAAAGGTAATGATCGTTCGTGATTTGGCAGATGCGGCTCCACGATGCCACGTATCGGGGTGGGGGGCGAGGAAAACGCCGACGTTCACTAAAAGTAATTGTTTATTTGAGAAGCTCGCCTAGGCGGTAACCTCAGACTTGGTTTTTGCTTCTGTTTGCGCACAGATTGGAGTGTAGGCAGTTGACGTTGGGTTAACACGGGCGTTCGTGCGCCTCTTTTTCTCCTCTTTTGCCCCTCCATGTGTGCAGGGCAAGGCAACGCGGGACAACGCCACCCCGCACCACCACCTCCGCGGCCAAGTGCCCCCAGCCAAGGGCCCGTCTCAGGCATCGCTGCGGACCAGTGCAGAACGTGTGAGGGGTACGGCCATTTTGCGAGGGACTGCCCGTCCACCCGGCGACGCGCCCAGCCTCGTGGGCCGCGAGGCCCTCGGCCCCAATCGTACTCCAGCTACAACCGCAGGCGCCGTTGAAGCATCCGGCAACGTTGGCGGGGAAGCAGGGCGTCAGAACATCGACCATTTTCTTTTTGTTGTTTGCCTGTAATTCGCTCTTGAGAGTATGTAAAGCCCAAGGCCCATAGGGGTGATACTTACGATTGTCTCATGCCACGAGTCGAGCGTGGAGCTGTATAAACAGCCAAGTTTTGTATCATGTGCTGGTGTCGTTACCAGATTTTCCGTTTGTTCGACCTTTAGCTTTGCCTTGTTTTGTGGCTTCGCTCATGAATTGTACTACGGATGTACACGACTTTGCAATGGAATATTAAAGGTGTTCTGACGCTATCCTTTCTGCGTATTTTGGACTTGGTCTCCCCGGGGAATGGATAGAAGACACATTACAAAGATGAAATAAAGTAAAGCATATGAACACGGGGTACAAAAATGAAATAAAGTGAAAACGCATGAACTCGGGGAATATACCAGTAAAGGGGCGGTAAAATGTTTCGCAAGGTTATAGTGCGACAGCTTCCGCTTGTCAGGCGCTTACACACGTTAGGGACTACCTGATTTCCAGCACCGCAGGTCTTCACCCACAGTTTCAGTAAGGGAAAGAACAGGAAAGGGTTTAATAGTGTAGGGCCGGTTCTGACTTTTGAGAACAATGAATCTTCCCGTAACCACGCAGGTTGTAGGGTATGGGCTTGCACGTAACTTGTAGAATGTGTGTTGCCTTGTATCCTGTGCTCTCCTGGAAGCGGTGTATCTGTAACATGATGTGACAGGTAGTGCTATTAGTAAAATTCATCTAAATCTGTTTCAATCCTCATGTTATTGTGATGAAAACTGCCAAATTCTACACAGAGAATGTCTTTGTAAGTAAGCCAGAGAAATAAATGCATAAGGGTTGATTTGTAAATGCACAATTGGAGATTTACGCCTTAACCATTCAAGATTTCAATGTCTCAAATATGGACATTGATTGAAGAAACAGGAACATATGTGCAAAAAGTGGAATCTATCCGAACAAGGTAAGTTTATAAGAAAAAAAGCTGATTGATATGTAAGTATCAGACCTGAGAAAGGAGTATTACTATTATGGTGTTTTTTGCGTATTTGATTGTGTGTGCTTAGTAACCTCAGCATACCTGCTATGCTTGGTGATAAGATTTTGTCAGCCAGTAAACACTTGATAGTCTGTAACTGCATAGTTATTGTGTACTGCAGCTTCACATGATGTCGCTACAATGAATTAAAGATTGTCGGTGGCTAATGGAGCTTCTCTGGCCAATGGATACTGCCTGGCCAATTTGATACTGTCTTTTTTGCCACCGATAGGGATCTGCTTGGAGATTAGGCCGCGATAACGTTCGATAACGGGTTCCGGACCGGGCCGTACTTTACGGTACGGCCCAGTCCGGAACCCGTTATCGAACGTTTCCATGGCTTCCATAGAACGATTCGAACGCGTTTCGCCCTAACCGCGTGCGCCGCTTTCGAAAATTCGAATACAGAATCCGAACGTTGGAACTGATGTTGTTGCATTTTAAGGTTTAGGGGCACCAACTTTTGACTCATCTTGCATTGAAAGGCGCGTGTTCTTGGGTGGGTATGACATAAATAAAATACAACACGGTGTATTCCGCATCGCCCTCGGTCCCGGCCCTCCCGCGAGTCGGATCGCCCTCCGGCCTGCGGGCGATCCGACCCGCGGTCTGGCCGATATCTCGGGCGATACGGAATACCCGTGTTGTATTCTATATGTATTATGTGTATGTACGTTCGCATCTGTAACTTACTATCGTTTGCCGCATTTGTATATAGTTACCTATGTCACACA